TTTAGTTGTAATTTTAATGTGATCTTGAGAGGTGGCAGGCATAGTGTTTACCTATTCCGCCATCTTGGACTTTACACCACTTCTAGAACATTTTCCTCACCCTAAAATAAACTCCATACTCATTAGCAGTCGTTCCTTATTCACTACTCTCCCCAGCTCTTGGAAACCACTAATCTAAATACTTTCTGCCTCTATGAATTTGCATTTTCTGAACATTTCATATAAATGGAACTATACAAAATTTGTACTTTTGTGTCTGGCTTCTTAGCATACTGTTTTAAAGGTTCATTCCTGTTGTAGTATGTGTCAGAACTTCATTCCTTCTTATGGATGAATAATATTCTATGGTATTGATATACCCCATTTAGTTTTTCTGTTCATTACTTGATGGACATGGGTTCTTTACACTTTTTGGCTACTATAAATAGCATTGCTATGAACACGTGTGTATCCATTCTCTCTTAAAACTGTTCTGCTCAGGCTTTTGTCTCCCACTGTGCCACAGCACTTGCTCTTCTCAAGGTCAACAATGATTTCCACAATACTAGACTGGTCAATTCTCAGTCCTTATTTTACGTGACTTATCAGGAATATTTGATGCAATCAATTTCTTCTTCCTGTTTTACTTGGCTTCCAGGACATCTCACTCTCCTGGTTTTCCTACTACTTCACTGAATTTTCCTTTTCAGTCCATTTGTTGGTTCCTCTTCATATATTCAACTCTAAACTTTGGAGTGCTCCAGGTTGTCACAGGTCTGTTTTCTTCCTTGTCTATATGCAGTTCAGTGAAGATCTCTTCCCATTTAATGGTTTTAAATACAATCTAAACACTGGTGGATGCAAAATTTGGACCTCCAAATTTCAAATCTCAAGCCTTTCTGCTAATTCCAGACTTACATATCCAATTGTTACTTGATATTTTCACTTGGATATCTAGCCAAACTGATCATATCCAAAACAGAATTTCCGATCTCCCATCTGATATAATGTACTCCTTGCCTAGTCTTCTCCATCTTGGTAAATGCAAAGTCCAACATCAATTTGCTCAGGTCAAAAATTTTGGAGTTACCTCTGACCCTTCTTTCTCCCACACACCACGTCCAATCTGTCAGTAAGTTTTGATATATTTACTCTCAAAATATATTTAGGATTTTGCAAATTCTTACTGTACCCACTCTCTGATTTAAGTCACCATTTTTGCTTGGATTATTGCAAACCCTCTCTACCATTAGGTTCACCTACTTCCACCAATATGTTTTCAATAGAGAGTGATTCTTAAAAATATAAGTCCGATTATATCACTCTTTTTGTCAAAACCATTCAGTAGTTCCACCTGTTACTCAATAAAAGTCAAAGCTTTTACAGAGGCCTACAATGTTCTACATGAAGTATCCCCGCTACTTCCTAGATTTCATCTCCCAATTACTCTTACTTATTACACTACAGTCACAGTAGCTGCCTTACTAATCTTTGGACACATCAGATTTTTTCCTGCTACAGGGCCTTTGCAGTTGTTCACTCAGCCTCGAATGTTATTTCTCTTCCTCCACTCCAGATATCTTTATGGCTTATTCCCTCTCCTCCTACAGGTATTTATAGTAGTCACCCTTATCCACAGGGGATACAGTCTAAGACCCCCAGTGGATGCCTGAAACCACAGACAGTACTGAACCCTATATACACTATGTTTTCTCATGTACATACATACCTATGATAAAGCTTAATTTATAAGTTATGCACAATAAGAGATTGACAATAATAACTAATAATAAAATAAAACATATAACAATATACTGTAATACAAGTTATGTGAGTTGGCCTCTCTGTGTTCATGTTTTCCACTCACAAATTTAATGCCTTTTCTATCTTGCAGTTTGAAGTGTGGCAGTAAAATGAGCACAAATTTATTTTTCCTTCTTCACAACTTAACGGATAGAAAATTTGTTCTTACCATAGACCTTAGGAACCTCAGTATGTTTTTTTTTTGCTTTCCTTATTAACTCAAGAACTTTCACCTCACCTTTTTACTTAAAGAAAGTGCTTTATGGCTTCTCCTTGGCATATCTAAATCGCCAGCATCACTACTCTTGCATTCTGGGGCCATTATTAAGTAAAATAAGGGTTATTTGAACACAAGCACTAAGATATCAATGTCATAACACTCGATATAATAACTGAGAAGGTTACTAAGTGACTAACAAGTGTGGCTCTGTGGGACAAAGGGATGGTTCACATCCTGGGTAGGCAGTGACAGGAAAGTGCAAAATTTTATCACACTCTCCAGAGCGGTGTGCAATTTAAAACTTAATGAATTATTTATGGAATTTTCCATTTCATATTTTCAGACCATGGTTGACCATAGGTAACTGAAACCATGGAAAGCAAAACCACAGGTAAGGGGCAGACTATTGTACTCAAATGTCACCTTTTTAATAAGATCTTCACTGACCACGCAACCTGAAATAAAAACCCTTTGGCTGCACACTCTTGATCTCCCTTATTCTGTTCTATTTTCTCCAAATAACTTATGAGGTGTCACAATTAAGTTCATGAACTCATCCTTGAAAAAGTGCAATATACATACCTCATTGCTGAATATCACTACAGTCACCTTCGAAGTACTCCCCTTGGGAAGCTATGCACCAATGCCAGTGCCTAGTACACCCTTCAAAGCAAATTTGAAACTCTTTCTGGAACAGTCATCAGAGCTGTCATCATATTACCCTTGATGTCCTGAATGTCATCAAAATGTCTTCTTATCAATATTTTATTTATTTTTGGGTAAAGAAAGAAGTAATTGTGAGCCAAATCAGGTGAGTAGGATGGGTGTTCCAATACAGTTATCTGTTTACTGGCTAACAACTCCCTCACAGACAGAGCCATGTGAGCTGGTGCATTTTCATGATGCAAGAGCCATGAATTGTTGGCGAAAAGTTCAGGTCCTCTAACTTTTTCACGCAGCTTTTTCAGCACTTCCAAATAGTAAACTTGATAACTATTTGTCCTGTTGGTACAAATTCATAATGAATAATTCCTCTGATATCAAAAAAGGTTAGCAACATCATTGCAAAAAGTTTGCGAATTTAATTGTCAAACCTTCATATCAGCATCTGAAGTTCTGTACATTTTATTTGTCTCCTTCCAATGTAAGCTCTATGAAGGTAGAAACTTTTATCTGGTTTGTTCATGGCTGTATTACCAGCACCAGAGCACCTTCTGGCACATAGTAGATGCTCAGGAAATATTTGTTAAATAAATAAATGAATGGTGGCCTGGGTTAATTTGTGTTTTTTCTTTAGTTTTATCAAGTTATAAATGACAATTCCAATTGTTTATATATTTAAAGAGTATAATGTGATGATTTGATAAATAAATGGGTTTAACTGGTTGTTTTGAAAACTAAGTTAATACTTAAGGCATTTCTTCTTGCTTGACTGAATTCAATTTTAGCTTTCAAAATAGTTGGTCTAATTTCAGTTGCAGTGTGATGTCGCATAAGTTTTTTTTAATATTCTCATTAGCAGCTTTATTTTTATTAAGGGATTTTAAAATGTGGTCTCTTGAGTCAGACTATTGGAGTTTGAATAGTGGATATCTGTGTGACTCAGGACAAATTAACTGTTCTGTGCCTCAATTTCTCATCCATAAAACAGGTGTACTAGGAGCACCTGTCTCATGATGTTATTTTGGGGATCAAATATTAATAATGTATGTAAATCACATATCCTAGTACCTGGCACATAGTAAAGCTTCAGTGAAGAGTGGCTTTTATTACTGTTATTAAGATGTAAGAGAAAATTTTCAAAAAATACAGAAAGACTTGCAACAGAAACAACTGAATACATTTTTCTAAGTGAAACTAAAATGCTGTCCAGCTCTTTTGTATTTGTGGCATTTCTTTGGGAAATGAGCCAAAACTTGAAAGCCAATTGTTTTGTCTATTTCCTCAGGAGGTTCTCCTGGGATTGGACATATTCTCTTCATATTCTCTATATCCTCATAGAATAGTGACACTTGGAGCTCCTCATACTTAATACCTCCACTTCTCATATTCTTCACTTTAATGCCATTTCAGACCCAGATGTTCAGATTCCATGTATTATCTTCACTCAGAAAATTGGTTAAAAAATCAGCAGTTCCCTTTGTGGGAAAGATGCTTGCTGAGTGCTGGCTGACTAGCTTTCTAAATGTGTTGACTTGCAAACAAGGTTGTCCATGCTTTAAAAGGCAAGGACAATGGTCTCCATTTCTGTGTCATGACACCTCCTTGTAGCTTGCTGTCAGACACATCTTGTGTTAATGCCTTTTTAAACAAAGTTGTCACAGATCCAGTCTGTGAATGCCAAAATGTGCCAGATTCTTTGACTTGTACAGAGAAAAGGGGGAGCCCAACCTTGTAGAGGAGCATTTGGCTTTACATTTCACAGAAGTAGCCAATGAAACGTAGCCTCTTCTATTCAGCACTTGCCCCACTTCATTTTATAGTGCTTTCCAGGGTCCACTTCTTATATTCTCACTTCTTTCTTACCTCCCATAGCAACTTATACTGAGTTGGGCTGGGCTGGGTGCACATTTATTACTTATTTATCTATCAAACCTCACAGGGATCAATAAATACTAGTTAAAACACACCACTTCTTCACTGTTTTTGAAAAACTTTCTAGTTCTGTTATTTAAATAAAATTTTTATCTTGTTGTCACAAGTATGCTATAAATTTCTGGAGTACATGGACTTCTATCTCATTCCTGTTTCTTGCAGTGCCCAACTTGATTCTTCACTCAGTCTATGTTTTTATAATTATGTGCTACAAAACTGATAGGGAAAAATGGGCCCAAACCCTAGGAATTTGGTATAATTTTCTTCCTGACATTTAAATTTTTATTGTGGTTGTTAGGAGACAATCACATGTAATAACCAGCAATTACTAAGCCATTTTCCCACTATAATACGATTTCAAAAAAAAATCTGAGCAAACCTTTGGTGAGAATTAGAAACTTACTCATAAACAGTTGTCCATCCATTTTCATTACTTTTGGTAGCCAGCAGCCCTGTGTTTCCTGGATAGGTCATCAAGGCCAGGTTATAGCCTTGGGCTGACACTCTTTTCAGGACTCCATTGCTGCTTATGGTCAGCCAGTACACCTGTCCACCAGGTACCACAAGCCAAAGGGGCATTCCGCCTGCATCCCGGCGAATATGCACTGAGTTGCCATTGCTACTGGTAATGGCACCCAAGTCACCTTCAGCATTGTAGGTGAAATTATACACATAGTCCCTTGTTATCAAGTTCAAGGTGTGCAGGTGGGTTCCATTGACAGTGAACTGGTAGAGTTCTTGATCAGCAGGTGAAGCAATCTCATAAAGGTTCATGTCATTCAGGTGGGCTTGGTTCCTGCTAATGGTACGAATTCGAACGTTCCCAAGGTCTGCTACATAGAGGGTACCATCAGGCGACACTGCTAAGGAGGAAGGGGCTTTCATCTTCGCATCTTTAGCATAGCCACCATCACCTGTGGGAGAAAGAAACTGATTTTAATAACTGTTATTATAAGCATTTATATGAACATACCATATACAGAAACCACAGTACATTAAGAATCATTTTAAAGGGAACAATCAGTGAACCAACATTCCCTGCATGTCCTCCTTGACAAATTTCAAACCCATTATTCAAAATTCTTGAGTAAGTACCACTGAAGATAAACAGTAAGTTGCAATGATCTCAGTAACAGTTTTGTGAAATCCTTAATCCCGTTATTCAGTATCTCTTGTATTGCAAGACACAAAAAGAACAAATAGTAATAGTCATACAAAATTTGGCTGGAAATCCCTGAGACTTATGCCTGTCAATGCTTATAGGACTTTCCAATCCTACTGTGCCTAGAGTAAAGATCTTTCTTCGGTTAATTCTCATTGTCACATTGTCAAAGTATACTAAGCCTGTAAGTGCAACAATGATTCAGAACATCAAATTTGATAACTGAAATACACATTAGATTTGTATTGAATGAAAGATAAATTAACAAAATAGCTATAAAACGAATTGTCCAGGAAAACATCAGAGCTATTGATCAAAAGTTTTATCGACCAAATTGCTGACTTTAGATTCCTCTCACCCAAGGAAAAGCAAAGGTTAAGAGAACAATTTGGGTCTGGATGAACAGTTTAATAGGGCTGCAAGCAGCATGGAGGGATTTCCACGTCCCAGCAATAAATGTATCCATTGACATTTCAAGGAATGTTGGCTACCTGGAATATCCTTTCCATGTTTTAAGGAAAAAGGCTCTTTTCTTTCTTAAAATTTTTTTTTTCTATTTTAACTGGAAGCAAAGGGCATTATTGGTTATGGAGAAAGTTTTGGATTTTTTAAAAAACAATGTGAGTAGCAGACCGATATCCTGAGAACCCTCCATTGTGGGATTTAACTGTGCTCATGTGTCTCCGAAGCAATCTGTTCCTAGTCTCATTGGGTTTCAAATAGCAGATTCTGTTAATCTGGAAACAAATCACTTAGGGGAAGTAAATTTTTCCTTAGCTAAATTAGAAAATGTGGGTTTTACATAGTTTCTCTTTCTCTAAAGTAGAAATGCTATCATGATCTTACATTTGTATAGCAGCCTTGACTTTAACTTAGAGTATCAAAATTTGTATTATACTAATTTATCCTCAAACCAGTAAGGGGATATAAATGAGACAAATGATATTTTTATTTAACAGATGAAGTAAGCAAGTCATGAAAAAGTTTTGTGGCTTTCCTGGGGCCACTCAGTGAATAAGTTGTGGAACAATGACCAGATACTAGGCTATCTGACCCACAACCCATTGCTTTCTTCACTTGTTCACATTAATGTTCACAAGTAACATTTTTGTTTTATTTTTGACTCTTGTAATGCACATTTTCTTTTGGAAACAGAGAGGGGGAAATGGTGAATTGCTAAAAATGGTCATACCTGAGAAACAGTCACAGTTGGGATCAATTTTGCAGTCACAGTCAGTGGGGGCACCAGCCATGATAGAGATCTCCCCATTGGTGGTAACTTGCTGAATTCGATTTACTTTCCTCTCGTCTGTTTCAGCTATGAAGAGCAGTCCGCTGTGGGAGACACTGATAGCCCTAGCTGACTCCAGAGTGGAGTGAATTGCCACCTTGCTGACCAAAAAATGATTGATACCTGGCACCTGGCAGTGAATGGGGCGCCCTGCAATGATCCGCACACGCCTGTTCTCAGAGATTTGCAGCACAATGTTGTTATCCAAGACATACAATGAATTGTCCATGGGATTAACTGCAAGGTCGGTTGGCCACTCTAATCTCACCTGGAAAAAGTACAGAATACACACCATTAGGTTACAATATCTTTCCTGGGGCAGTTTTACCTTGAAAAAAAAAACTGGCTTATAAGTTGCCCTTGTCTCATGAATTTCAGCAATGTTGGTTTTGTCTGGCAATGTTGGGGGAGGATGGTTAATCCAATATTCTAGTAATCATATTTATCATTTATACCATTTCCAGCAAATGTAATTTTTTTGCAATAATTCCAGAAGGATCCTCTAGAGCAGTGTTTTTTCAGTGTGGTCTCTGGACCAGCAGAAATAGTATCACCTGGGAACTTGTTAGAAATACAAATTCTGAGGCCCCAAATTAGAACTATTGAATCAGAAACACTGGAGGTAGGGGCCCAGCCATCTGTGTTTTAATGAGCCTTACAGGTGATTCTGATGCACACTAAAGTATGAGGGTCACTGCTCCAGGGTTTCTGTGTTGCTCTTATGTGCAAATCTCTCTCACTGTCCTGTAGATGCATGGAAAGCAAAGTTATAAGACTTTTGAAAAACGGAGTGCTGGAGAAACCAGATTTTATTCTAACAGCAACTTTTGGGATAGGACTTTCCATTAGCATAGACCTAGCATCCATCTTGTGGAATACTCAGGTACAGCACATCTGTTGGTAACTTGGAACGTTAAGTTGTAACATGTTGCCACCTAGCTTGACCTGGTTCACTCCATATCTCCCTTTCCTCAGTAAAGAAACAGGTTGATTTGTTCTTTCATTTACTATTTGCTGAGTATCTTCTCTGTGCTAAGCATTGTGATAGGCTTTCAAAACACTACTATGACACAGCCTCTGCCCTCAAATGACTCATGGTCTAGTAGAACCTTTGGAGGCTCCATTAGGAAATTACTCTCCATGCTACGAGAAGGAGGCAATGGAGAGTATGAAAGCACTTCACCCAGACTAGGAGTCAGGAGGCAGAGTATCCTCAAAGAACATGCTAATTAATTAGGGTCTGAAATGATCAGTAGGAGACGAATGGGGTGAAATGGGTGAAGGGGAAGTAGAGTGGAGGACAATCCAGGTAGAGGGAACAGCAGGGTGAAGGTCCAGTTGTTAGAGACTGTGTGGCCCATTTAGGTTACTACAAAAAATTCAGTAAGACTAATAATTTAGGCTGAGTGTATGGGAGTGGTTAACAATGGAGTCAGGAGGTTGACAGTGGCTAGGTATTTTGAACTATATTGTGTCTCCCCCTTAATTCATATGTTGAAGTCCTAATACCTGATGTGACTGTATTTGGCAATAGATCCTTTAACAAGGTAATAAAAGTTAAATGAGGCCATACAGTTGGGGCTGTAATCCAACAGGTCTTGTTTCCTTATAAGAAGAGAAAGAGACATCAGGAGTGTGTATGCACAGAGAAAAATCCCATATGAGGGCACAGTAAGAGAGTGGTCTTCTGCAAGCCAAGGAGAGAGGCCTCAGGAGAAACCAAACCTGCTGACACCTTGATCTTGAACTTTTAGCCTCCAAAACTTTGAAAAAATTATTTTGTTAAAGCCACCCAGTCTATGGTATTTTGTTAAGGTAGCTTTAGCAGACAAATACACCAGGTAATGAAAGGATGTACATGTCTAGTTTATTCTGATGGCTGTGGGAAACTGCTGAAGAACTTTAAGTAGGGGTGTGCCATACTCATACTTAGGTACTACAGGGATCACATTGGCTGCTGTTGAGACAATAATGGAGGAGGAGGTAAGATGGGAGGCAGGCTGATAGGAGGCTCCTGCAGTGGTCCAGGTGAGGGACGATGGTGGCCTGAACTAGGATGACAACCGTGGGAATGGAGAGAAGTAAATGGATTTGAGACATGTTAAGGAGTTAGAAACAAGTATTGGTGAATATGTGTGTGTGTGTGTGTGTGTGTGTGTGTGTGTGTGAGATATACCTTGTGCCATACATTAGGCACTGGGAACTCACAGACCAACCAAACATGGCTCCACTCTAGTTCCTTTCTGGACACAGGAGTTAGCCCAATGCCTGCCCTGACATCTCCTCGATAGCTACTATTTATCACTGGGCATTTCTTAGAGAACTGAATTATATGCCCTCTTACCCTACCACCCACTTATTCTGTACTTTATTTCTCTTCTCTTAGCCTAGACAAAGGCAGAAAAATCAGTCCCATTCCTAGATATAGTAATGTAGCTACTCTTCATTGTGCCTTGAGTAAAACCCAAGGTAAGCATTTTTTTTTCTTATTGAATCTGAATGTTTGAAAACAAGATATAGACTGGCATTGCATTCTATTTCCCTGAATGGAAGAAACCTTACACTCAATAATGAAGTGGATAAAGGCTATCCTCAGATAGGGCCTGCCCTTTAATTCTGTCTGTTAATAGAGAGCAACTAGTGATGTTGTAATGAAGACAAAGGTTGTCTTTGACCTCTCCTCTAGCACCACTGGGGGCTCTTTGTCCCCTATCTCTTAGGGTTTCTCCCAAATACCTAGCAACCTCATTCTGTCTTCATGTCTTTATGTGCTCTCAACCTCCATATAGGCTAGCCTTCTCTGATTGGTACCATATGCCTCTGGACAGCTAGAAATTTGGATGCTAATGGAGTATAAATCTGAGCTTGTGTTGTACATGTTCTACAGAGCCTCTCAGATGGAGGCCATTGGATAAACATTAAACACAAGCCTTAACAGTTCCCAGAACAGTTTGCTGTGATATGTTCCTCAGCACGTTTGTCTGAGGCCTTTGCATGTCAGTGCCCTGCCACTGAGAGGGAGAGGGAGCACCTGCTGCTGTGGAGAGTTCAGACTCCTCCTCTGCCACGCGCCCCCACTTGGGACCTCTATATACACTGTCGTGCTTGTATAGAAGCTGTCTGTGTGTGCTGGACCTATGGTGCATGGTCCCCCAGGAAATAAGCCAGGCTTGGATGAGGAAGAGGACATTTATTTTTTTCAGTAAAACACTCCTATTTTGATCAAGTCTGAAGTCAGTGACCCAGAAAAAACAAAGCTGGCAGAAATGACATTCTAATTATCCCCACTCAGAGAGCTGAGGCCGGGGCAGAGGCCAGGGGTGACACATACATGGCAGGAGTCAGAGAAGGACATGTTTTAGACTCTGTTCTCTGCTGTCAAGACTGCTTCTGAGATAAAGGCTGGTACTTGGAAGATAAGTTGTTAAGTTCTCCAACTCATACAACCTGAATTAAGTCAATCCTATTGGTGTCATGTTTATCAGATTTAATACTGCCTCAAAAATACACCAGATATTATGTCTATCTGATTGTTTTTTTCTAGCAAATAAGTCATCCTCTGGCAGTTTCCGGTAACTAAAGTGACCTTTGTGCTCCTGAGATACTTTCTCTACCAGCTCCACAGAATCCTTTAATTTCCATTTGATTTGGCTGAGCAATTTGTCTATGCAGTCTACTCAGATGAAAGATGTGTAACCACTTAGTAGTCTAGGGTCTCCCTTTTCAGAAACAAATCTGTTCACCTCTCTTAGGTTGTCAGTTCCTTTTATATCTTTCCCATGTTAAATACTCCCATTTCTGGATAATTTTTCAAGGAACTGGTGCTTTATACCCACACAATAAAAACACTATATTTCCAGCCAAAGCATTTCCTTAACATACAACCTAACATGGAATGAAGTCTTCGAGCTGCTTCTGGAAGTCAGAATTAGCATTAGTTGCAGAGACCCCAGAATTCTATGCTACTGAGGCGGGGCTAAGAGTAAACCCTGAGGGCTGCTGGCATTTATTCAATTGATTTTTGGGGAGAAACCCCATTTCTTTTTTGGGGGGTGGGAGCAGAAAGAGATGTAGGTGCAACAGAGAAGCTCTGGAAACTGCCTAGTGAGCCAGCCTATAGGCAAACTATTAGGCCTAATTTGTGGTGGTTGCCTCCCATTCCCCACCTTGTAAAAACACATTAATTTGTTTGAAAAGAGAATTGATTCTGGGTGGCGAACACACAATGTGATATATAGATGATGTATTACAATATTATTCACCTGAAATCTATGTAACTTTGCTAATAATTGTCACCCCAAAAAACTTTAATTAAAAAAATGTATCTAAGCTAAACTAGCATTAAAGTCCACTGGTGTAGCCTCCAGCAGGTGGGTGTGCCATCTCTGAAACCTTCCCCAAGAAACAACTCTGAGCAGAAAGGAGCTCTTAGTCTGGATATCAAGTCTTGATGGCACTATGTCTTCCTCTGCTAATCAAAAATTTGCTTTGAGGGACTTCTGGTAAGACGGCGGAATAGACAGATGCTGTGCCGACTGCCTCCCAGGATCACACCAAAATTACAAATAATTTATAAGATATTCAACCTCGGAAGTTCCCTAAACACTAGATGAACAGAACCTCTAAACAAAGAACTTGAAGAGGAGGCCACGTCGAGTCTGGTAAGAGGGGTAGAGATGAGAGAGGGTGAACCCTGTGAGGGACACCTCAGTGGTGGGAAGGTTTCTCTGGTTGGGGACGAGACCCTCCGGCCCCACACCGTGCTCACCAGCCCAGAGTTACTTTGCCAGGAAGAGGAGTTCTACGATAGCTGGAAGTAGAAATTAGTGAGGACTCTCTTTGCTCAACTCGGTGAGGGCAGCTGGAGAACCAGTGGAGCCAGCAAACCGACTCGCTCGCTGGTGAGCACTCACCCGGTTCCTGGTGGAGGGAGTGGCTTTGTGAGTGGAGCCCAGGAGCCTGCGGGAAGGACTGAACTGAGAAGTTTGGTACGGGAGCTGGAGGTTTTTGGGACCATTGTTCCCCTGGTGTGGAGCTTGCACACAAGTAGTCCACAGGAGGGTGCCATTTTTTCAGGGCTGGGCCCGCCCACAAAGGCTCAGGTCTGGGACGCATTGGTCTGCTGGAATTGGCATAGGAGTGTGTGTGTGCATGCGTGCACATGCGGCCTTGGATACCCACCCTCCGCACTGCTTGTGGCATGCGTGCTCCAACTCCAACAGGCTGCTTATTGAGACCCGGGAGTGCGTGACTCGCCTTAGGTCCCTG